ATTATCAAGTATTCTTATTTTGAAAATTGAAGCTGGTCAGTTCTTTTCCAAACAAATGTTCACATGCCAAAGCAGAATGATTTAATTTCTTTCTATTTCTTTGGTGACTTATTATTCCACATCAATATATTGGACAGGTTACTTGGATTTGGTTAGAAATGGAATGCTTGCACATAACACTGGTGCTGCAGCGTCGCTTGGGAACAATATTGTGGAACCAATTAATTCTTTATCTAATATGGGCTTTGGTAAGCCCATATTGGACCAAGAACTTGTATCCCAATGTCGGCTCCAGGCACTTCGATCAAAACCGTCCAATTGCAAGCCTTCTCCTCCTGCACGGTTTGGGCTTTCTGTGCCTCAGATGAATGGGCCCGGTGTCGGCCCCAAGAATGCTCATAACCCTGTACTGGGACAGAGGTCCTCAAAACCCTCCCAGTTACCCACTGTGGGCCACAATAATTCTCAGCAACAAGGATTCTGCAATTTTCAAACTCCCGAACAAGCAAATCCAACCCGGAATTTGCAGAAAATTCTATTGTCATATGTCAAATGCAGGCTAGCGGATGCTAACATGAGCAGACAGGATTTCTTGAGTCGACTGCATCCGATAGCATGCAAAGGAGTAACTTGTAAATGCGAAAATTACTATGTTTTGATATCCCACTTCGATAAATGTCAGAACACTCGCTGTGGCATATGTGGGCCTGTCCGTCTGTTGTGTGCTGTCGAGAGAATCACGACAGGTTCTTCGGGATATCGTAAGGAACTTCTTTTGGGAGGCGTACATTCTAGAAATTACGGTGTTCAGGAAATCGAACCTTCTGCTAAACGTATGAAAATGGAGGATGATGTTCAACATGACGACTGGTCTCTTAGTGCTGTTGTTCGTCAGAAATTAAAGAATTTAGTTGGAGGTTTAGCGGTTGTTGAGGAAGACACAACAAAGATGAACAAGGGGTCATCATTTGAAGGTCGTATTAATGCAGCCACACTGAACAAAGAAATTCCTAGTTCTGTAATCGAGGTTAGGGAAAGTGTCATGAGCGGTGATTGTTCATTTGATGATGTTTCTCATGTTGAAGAGATTTGTTGGGTTGATAAACCGCAGGAGATGGGATGTTTTGGCACTGTCGAGGTAAAAAATGATGGTCAAAGTCTGAGTTTTGGTGGTGCTTCTGATCTCTCTGAGGAGTGGCCAATGGATGGAGCAGAGAACACTGAAAGGATTTTTGAGGGTAAGCACGATAAAGTAGAGGCTGAATGTGGTTTAGCTAAATCTGATTGTCAACTGGGAGGAAAATTGGAGGATTTGAAAGTTTCAGGTGTTTCTTTGATTGACTTCTTCTTACCAGAACAAATCAAAGAACACTTGCATAGTCTGAACCAATTTGCTGATCTGGTATGTATAACAACTTATCTTACTTTTTCCCACTCCACTGTTTAGTATGCTTGCAGCTTTTTTTTCTTTTTTTTTTTTTGGATNGATTTGTGGTTTTGTTCTGATGAGCTATTATTTTCTCTTTCTTTCTCTCCTCATAAAAATAATCTCAGAAAGGAAGAACTGGAGAACCGAGTGAGCGTACTGTTGATGAGAATACATGTCAATTATGTGATATGGGTGTGCGCATGTTTGCACCTCCACCAATGTACTGTTCATGTTGTGGAGCTCGAATCAAACACGGGTCGTGTTATTACAGGCCACTGGATGATGAAGCAAACGTAAAATACTCTTTTTGTACCTTATGTTTGAAGCACTCTCGTGGTGGTAACGTCTCTTTCAGGGGGCTCACTTTTCCCAAAGCGAAACTGGAGAAGTGCAAAAATACTGATGAACTTCCAGAAGGAGTAAGATTTTATTTATCTCCTTGGTAGCTTTTCCCCCTTTTTGAGTCCATTTACATAATTTACGGTGATAAACTGTGTTTTCTACTTGCAGTGGGTGCAGTGTGACAAATGTGAAGCCTGGCAACATCAGATTTGCGCACTTTATAATTCTAAGCAAGATTTGGAGGGGAAATCATATTACATTTGTCCGTTTTGCCGTTTGTTTGAGTTGGAAGCAAAAGGGCATGCCTCCATGCCTCCAGCTCTTGGGGCAAAAGACCTTCCGAGGACAAAGCTTAGTGATCATATAGAGCAAAGACTTTTCAAGAACCTGGAAAAGGAGAGAAGACAAAGGGCGGAACTTTTAGGGAAGCCTCCCGAAGAAGTAAGTAGATCATTCCAGGATCATCATTTTGGATTTTTTTTTTTTATTTTAATTTCTTCTTTAACAGTTTAACTTGAGTGCTTAACTGTATTTTTAAACATAACAGGTACCTGGAGTAGACGATCTTGTCGTTAGAGTGGTTTTAGCTGTCAATAAGCAATTGAAAGTGAAGCAGCAGTTTTTAGATATTCTCCATGATGAATCTTACCCGACAGAGTTTCCATATAAATCTAAGGTACGGGATAACAATTCTTATGAGTATATATCTTCTTTTTGTTTTTGTTCTATCAATAGAATGTGGATCCCGAATTTTTTTTCATGTTGTTTCCTTTCTGAGAAACAAAATGAAGAAAAGGAAAAAAAAGCAATGTAAATATTTTTCATTGTCTCTCTCTCTCTCTCACTCTCTTACACAAAATATTCTCTACATAGGTGATGATGTTATTCCAGAAAGTTGAAGGTGTTGATGTATGTCTCTTTGCTATGTATCTCCAAGAGTTTGGTTCGGAATGCGGGCACCCGAATAAACGTTCAGTATACATTTCATATCTTGATTCAGTCAAGTATTTCAGACCTGATATAAAAACTGTGGATGGAGTGGCTCTGCGTACCTTTGTATATCACGAGATTCTGGTAATAAAAAACATCATTTAGTTGTCTAATTTTTTCCACAAATTTTGTTTATGGGTTTTATCTTTTATGAACCATGAGAACCATTTGCTGATCTGTCTTTATTTGCAAATCTTTGTAGATTGGGTATCTTGATTACTGCAAGCAACGTGGTTTTAACACGTGTTACATATGGGCTTGTCCGCCTATAAGAGGGGAGGATTACATACTATATTGTCATCCCGAGACTCAAAAAACGCCAAATCCACATAAGCTGCTTCAGTGGTGAGTATCTCATTTCCATGTGACATATTGTGATTGACCTTAATTTGGCGAGAAAACAGGCTATTATTGAATTTTTATTGTGTTGGGATCTTTTATATGATTTATCATTGCATTGTGAAATGCAGGTACAAGAAATTACTTAAGAAAGGCAAAGAAGAAAAGGTTGTGGTGGACTACACTAATTTTTATGATCACTTCTTTGTTCCAAGTGAAGAATGCAATAGCAAGGTTACAGCTGCTCGATTACCGTACTTTGATGGGGATTATTGGTCTTGTGCCATTGAGGACATGATCCGAATAATCGAGAAAGAGAATGAAGAAGATTCTGCGAAGAAGTTGAAAATTCACACAACTAAAAGAGCTTTGAGAGCAATGGGGCACAGTGATCTGTCTGTGGAGAAAACAAAAGATATCTTGGTTATGCAAAAGGTGGGTTTATTAAACAAATAAAAAAAAAATGTTACTCTTAACTTAACAACCTCAAGAAAGTTCACTGACTTTTTTTATGAGGTTTCTGACTGTTTTATAACCTTGATAATCACTGTGTACTAGTTTTCTTACAGTTTTCTTTTCTTGTTCATTTTTTCTTTCTTCTTTCATACTATAACATATTTCTATTACTTTTGATTGATAGCTTGGCCAAACCATCCTGCCTTCAAAGGAAGACTTCTTTGTTGTCCACTTGCAGTTCACTTGTACAAACTGCCATGAACCGATATTATCTGGAAGTCGTTGGTCTTGTAATCAATGCAGCCAATATCATTTATGTGACAGGTGATTATCTCTGTCTATCATATCTTTATTTCGATTGAACAAGTTCTTTGTTATTTCCGTAGCTTTCTGTTCATTCCTAAACTTTTTGGTACTCTTAAACTTTTTGGTGTTCATTCCAGAAAGTTGATGCTCTGAATTTTTCCCTAAAACATGAGCACACATTGGAATATATTTCGTGAGCATGTCGTAATTATATTTACCGTGCCATCTGAATTTCAGATGCCTTGGGATCGAGCAAAATTCCAGTAAACCGCAAACACACACTACCATCCACGGGGAAAAACACAAACTCTTCCAGGTACAATTATTTTATTATTTTATTTTTGGAGAGAGAGATGGTAATTGTCTCAACAATGACATTTTCTCATCCATGTTTTTCAGATTCTGGTGGATGATGTGGCCAGTGATACCGAGGACAAGGATATCCTTTTGGACAATGACTTCTTTAAGGATAGACTCTCTTTCTTGAAGTTTTGTCAGGAGAATCATTACCAGTTTGACACAATCCGGTTTGCTAAGCATTCATCCATGATGATCGTGTATCATCTTAAAACCGCAACTGTCCAAACCTCTATGCAAACAGCAAAAGGCTGCAGCTTTTGCCAACATGGCCCGGTTAGCACGGCTGAAGGGCATTGTGAGATTTGTTCCGAATTTAGTGCGGTTACCGGGTCAACATTTTTGGGTGCTTTAGGGGAGTTACGAACATAAGAGTGAGATCATTCTCTAGGTATTTTTGGAAAATGGTTGAATAGGACAGGTTATCTTTGACATTTTTGGTACAGAAAGTGGTTTTTTACCGTTCCTTAACGTGTAATTGTTTTTGATCTGCGAGGGCTTTTTATAGGATTTTAGATCTGTTTGTTGGTGGAAATAAAAATTGATAGTCTGTGGGACTTGGGATCTAATGTGGTGTGAATGTAATTAGAGGCAGGCATCCAAGTCCCCACATCTTTAACATGTAAACAATCTTATCTTGGTATATATGGAAATATTTTCTTAGATATCACCATGTGAATGCTCTAATGTTTGAGTATTTCTTTATTCTGTCTTGCTAATTTAGTTGAGACTCGGACACGATTAGTTCGACATGGCGAAAACACAGCCAGAATTTTCGGGAGAAAATTTTTGGGAGAATATGAAGCAAACAACCGCTGAATTTTCCAACTGACAAATTTCAAATAAAATCCCAAAAGGTCCTTAAGAGTTGCTGCTTTCTGTGTTGTTACAATCTGCACACTAATAATACACACATCTGAACCAAAGAAGAAAAAAAAAAGTTCCTGACATTTTATTTCATCATGTGGTGATGAAAGTCCAGAGCTTCTTCCCGACAGAAATTTCACCTGGATGATCGACTTCATCACCATCTCCATCATTCTCATCATCATCATCCTCTTCGCGGCTAGCTGTTTTGTAATCTTCCCCACTGTATTCTTCCATGGCACATTCGGCTGATCCTCCATTAACCTCCTCACTCTACAAAAACATGAAAAAAACAGGAAGAAGTTAGAAAATACAACAAATGCATGTATAATAACATGCTGATAATATGTAAGCGCTGTTATTAGTTTTGAAAGACACCTGAATTTTTTTGTAATTGCTAATTAGACAAGAAATAGATCCTCTCTCTACTGAGGGAAGTAAACTCGGGTTAGTAATGAGAAAATTTGCTCACAGGACTGTCGGCAGAAAACTCGCTAGCAGTGGCAGCACTTCTCAAGGGATGATGATCATCAGCATCTTCAGCCCCAATTCTTCTGGAGTCATGTTCTTCAATTTCTTTCCTTGAAGCTCCAATAGCAGAAGCTTCAAGATTTTCAGAAAGCGGTTGGTCACTTTCCTTTTCCTTGCCCTTCCTCCATGCTTTAGGTAAAGATCCATTGGCCACTGTTCCTACCGATCTGGGAAAAAGTATAAATGAATCAATAAAATTACATGAGTATCCCACAGATGAACAGTTAATGCACATAGATGGTTAGAAGGCAAAATAAAAACTATAAATAAGGGAATAATAGTGATTAACATGTTGCAACTAAACAAGATATCTGCATATCAATCAACCCAACCCCACACCATTAGGTACATATACAAAACGAACTTCATGTTAACTGACCAATCTACATGCCATAGATATAGAGCGGTAACCACACATTTCTTTTACTTTTTTTTCCCCGATGGAAGTAAAAAAAAAAAAAAAGAATCTTATTTCATTTCTTTCCCGACACAAAACTAAAGATAACACACAGCTAAAATCTCAACTTACTTTTTGTTTGTTCGGAGGTTGTATCTTCTTTGGCCATGTTCAGCTGCAACAACTCTTCGTCTCCTCCTTGGACGATCGCCATCCTTGATGCTGTCCGAATGGCCTTCAACAATTTGATTATCACTTGCCGTTGCTTGTGATCGATTTCGCTTTCTCGTGTTCTTTGGTGCTCCACCAAGATCAGATTCTGCTCTATCATCATTAGTCTGAACAGAGGTTTCCACATTACCATTGGTCTTAGAATACTCAGGTTTACTCGGGGGATCTTGATCAACTGGAGGAGCTTGAGCAGCAGCTCCAAATTCTCCAATGGCAGTCTCAGATTCAACAATTTGGACATCATAAGAATCATTCGCAACTCTCAAGGATAATAATTCCGGTTCCTTTTCACCGCTTGGTGATGCGTTAGAAGAATTGGTGACATCATCCTGCTTCACCAAAGTTCCAACCTCAGGATTCTGACTGCAATAATCAAGATCGAGTCTCCTTCCCGGTGAAAATATAAGAATCTTTGTGGTGCACTTGCTGAGCCAAGACATGGTTTTTTTACCAGCAGCTGGAGATGATCCTGATTTAGCCAGAGCAGGGGATAATGACTCAGCATTTAACCTCTCAGCCTCCTTCAAATAGTCTTCTGCTACCTTTGGCAATGGATGAAGATCAGAGAGCATAAACTCGCGAATAGTCTCGCCACATATGTTGCAATTCTTCTGCTTCTCAGAAAATGAAACGAAACGTTCTCTTTCCTTGATGAGTTGTTCTCTCTGATCCTTCAGCTTCAGGCTTAAGCTAACAAGTTCCTCGGTGTCTTTTTTCATCCCGAGTTGCTGAGACTCGATACGCTTCTTATTTTCTGAAATCTCTGTGTGTTCTTTCTCCATCCGAAGTCTTTCTAACTTCATCTCCTCCATTTCTCTTCTGGCAACCTCCCGCAAGTAATTGACATCCTCGAGTTCCTTTCCCTTCTCCTGTTCAAACAACTGTTTCCTCTCCTTCAAAGAACTCTCTAACTCTTCCTGCTTCCTTCGGAATTCAGCCTCGAGTTCCTGCTTCCGTACTTCAAGATCATGAATCAGTTGTGTCCTTTCACTCTGGGCTTTTTCAGCTAATAGTGCCTTCTCATGCTCCATTCTAGCAGCAAAAGAACCTTGAGCAAATTTAAGAGCTTCTAGTTCCCTTTGCACGTATTGCTGTTTTTTGAGCTTTTCATTATTTAGCTTTTCCTCTTCAGACAGCCTTAGTTTCTCCAGAAGACGTTTCTGTTCAAGGACATTCTCTTCCTCTTTCTTTATTTGGGTTCTTTTATTATCTAGCTCTTCCCATTCTTTCTCGAATTTCTCCTTCTCTTGCTTCAATCATCTGTTTCCTTCATAAGTTGCTCACTTTGGAATCTGTATTTGTTTATCTCCTCTTTCAGCTCCGATTGCAGGCGAGTAAATTCTGATCTTTCGTCTTCGGTGATTTTTAGTTGTTCTCTCTCTTCATTTAGTTTCTCCAGCTGGCTCTCTCCGTGAGCCTTAAGATTCTCGAGCTCGGCCTTGAGACTGAGCAAGTCTTGCTTTTCTGCAAGCATTAATTTCTTTTCTTTCTCCAAGTTTATCCTCTCTAATTTATGAGACTTCTCCCTTTCCTTCAAAGTTTTTGATTTGGAGTCAATATCAGTTTCTTTATCTCTCACTTTCTCTATTTTCTTTTCAACCGCTTGTTCCCGTTTCTTCACTTTCACTTCCACGTGTGTGAGCTCAGCTTCCTTCTTCTCCACCTCAGCCATCTTCTCCTTCAGCTGCTCATCATTCGACTTTCTTTTCTTCTCCATCATCAATTCGAACTCTTTCTGCTTCTTGGTCAGGATACTTTGATGTTCATCCAACTGTTTCTGAATCTCCGACTGCACACACTATAAAATTAATCATTCAAAAAAGCAATCAGAAGACGTGAAAAAAATACCTTAGCCACTAGCCAGATCTACTTACTTTTTCTCTGGTGTTCAAGTTTTCTTCTAACTCCAGCAGTTGCTTCTCTCTTTCTTCTAATCTCTTTCAAACATCAACAGCTTCCTGTAAAAATAGGGGAACAAAAAATTAACATTCATGGTAATCGGAAAAGTGAAGAAACTTATTTATTGATTGATTGTCCACATTAAGATGATATATACTTGCCTTCTCTTTACAAGCTAGGCTTGCTAGTCTTTTGCTTATATCTTCTTCCTTGTTCCTCAAATCAGAATTGGTAATCTCAATCTTTTTCTGTAATTCTTCGAGGTCCGTCTGTTTTACCTTCAAGAGATTATCATTATCATTTGCCTTTCTCTCCCTGTCATTCAGCAATCATCTACCATCAGCTAGCCTCTCCTCTGTTTCCTTTAACTTCTGCTCCCACTGCCTTAAGTCTTCCCTTTGCTTTGACATCGAAGCTTCATGTGCCTCACGCCTGGGTAAAAAGTAAGTCTTTTCAAGTAAAACAAAAAATATGACATATGAACATGGACCGGGCAGCAATACCAAAAAAAAAAAAATAATAATAATCTCATGCAAGAATGTGAAGTATGATCGTAAGAGAACTAAGATCCTCGAGCATACTCTGTGGCGAAAAGAGACCGTTCTCTTCTAAGCACATTCTCTTGAGTCTCCAACTCATGCAATTTCCTATCGATTTCTGAACTCTTCCTGCTGACCTCAGCAAGTTTGGCGTCAGCCGCGTGGAACTTTGCCTCAACCTCCAAAGATTTCTGTTCAACACTTGTGATTAATGCATTAGCCTCATCCAATTTTGAGTTGGCATTTAACTTAATTTCAGCATGTTCCGAACGCATCTCACGCAAAGCCTTCTCGAGCTGAAGCAACCACCAACAAACAGCATAAAAAGTTAGTCAGTGGAATTTCCAGTTGGATAACATCAAATTTGTTCCAAATATGGAGACACTCAGCAAATCTATATACTCTTGTGAACGAGAAAGGAACTTCATCAAATTTCCCAAAAGAAAAGTGACACAACGTATATATGAAATGACAAAGCAAGCCATGCAATATATAAGAATGCAAAGCAAGCCATGCAATTTATACATATATAACTTTACCAAAATGAAATGCAAAAAATAAAATTACAGCCATTATTCTAGATGAGATCAATTAAAAAATACCAAGAAACCCCCAGGTAACCATCTATCTGATTCAAGATGAGAGCCAAAGATTCAGGAAGTGCAAATCTTACATCAAGCACACACTGCTTTTCAACACCCAAAGCTTTCTTTAAATTCTCTTCTCGCTTCTCCATTTCTAACATTGCACTAGAATGAGCTGCTCGCTCTTTTTTCAAAGTATCAGATGCGTCAGCTAAAGCTTGCGTTACTCCTTCATGCTTCATATTCCACTCATTTTTCTCAACCAACAGGAGACCCATTTTGTACTGATAATCAAAGAGCTACAAGGAACAAAAAGATAAGACAGAAGAACTAAGCAACATTAAGTTCACACCCACAACAAATTTTGAATATCCAACTTTACTGCAAATACAAAACTACTTTTCGAGGGCCTAAAGCATCGCATGACTCGTGAAGAGTACAACTATGAAAAAATTTAAAGCCAAAGAGAAGTATTGAAATTTGAAACTATATGCTACTTGTCACTTTAGCATAATGTCAATAATATATAAACAAGTACCAAACACTCACAATGTATGCACACTCTCCTCAATTACATGAAGATACTAAATGCTATCCCAAAGGGTTCATGTAGAGCAAACAACACCCATATGAAAAAGAAGATAAACAAAGAAACAAAATTGATCCCAAAGGGGGAAAAGAGCAATCACGTAAACTACTCGTTTAAAATAAATATGGCTGTCGTTAAAAGAGGCATGCTAATTACACACTCAACGAGACGACTAGCTTCAAAGCGATCCACTTATAACAACACCAACAACGTACACATACAACTTCTATAACAAAGCAAAACCACCAAACGGGGCCATGGAAAAATAATGGCCTGCTTCATCTACTACCAACCAGATACTGCAAACTGCAGATAAAATACTTGCTCATCACCAGCTCAACTGTAAAACAAGAATCTTTCAAATAGATTCATATGCAAATTCCCCAATAACGTTTCACAAGATTTCTATGGTTTCACTGTCTTCCAAATTACGCTACTTTGGGGAATTAACTAAAATTCCTAAAATCGAAAATCGATCTCACAAACAAAACAACCAATGAAAAGCACAGTAAACAATAAAGGTGCGGGTCGTTGAAAACAGAGCATATAATTAATTTGGTCAAAACATGCGACGACCTCATTTTCGAGCTTCGAAGCCCCGCAGTCAACGTCTCCTGGTCCACGACCCCGTCGTCCCCAACAAAAACCGCCGCCTTGCCTTCAGCTAATGCCCCACCATTCCTCGGGCTTGCGGCGCTAGTTTTCAAGCCCAAGCCCGAGTCCGAGCCCGGCCCAGAAACGGTCCCGTTCTTCAGGCCCGGCTCACTCCTGGGCGACTTCCACCACAGCATCCTCGGCGGAGAAAACATTTCGCGGCGGGATCTCAAAACCCAACACGGCCAACAACGGAAACTGAGTGGGCCTGTGGTTTTTGGGCACAGAAGCGTACAAAAGAAAACCGTAAATTGCCAGGAACCCTTATGCGGACGCGAAAAGGGTTCCCAAATTCCGACGAATAGGAAGCTGATAAGTCCGGTAACGTCTCGAAAACCAACTTTCTCTCTCTAACCTTTATCCCTTTCTCACTCCTCAAGCTCTCTCTTTTTCTTTTTTTTTTTTCTTTTTTTTTTTTCAAGACGATCACTCACGTTCCTGGTTCCTGTTTTATCTCCCACTTATATTACTGTTTTACCCTTGATATTATCTGTTTATATCCGTTAGGCCGGGGTATTTGCGGTAGGGCCGCCTTTCTGTGAGGAACGTGCGTGGTTTGGAAGCGTGTAATTTATTGGACGAGATTGTCCTTCACCGAATCACCGTTTGGTCAGTTATGGGTATTGTGTAAAAGATAGGGAAAATTTCACTTTTGATACTCCAGGTATACCTACTTTTCGCTTTTGATACCCATGATTTACACTTAATCACTTTCAGTCACTAAAGTATTTAAAATCAATCATTTTTGCCCGAAGCGTCAGTTGACCGTGAGTCAACTGACGGACACCGTCTGTAGCAGGTCGTCTACTTCTGCAACTGATAGAAAATGGCTGGCATCTCCATTACAGCAACACAAAGCTGCAGACAGTGAGTGAAAAAAAAGGAATTTGATTTGCAATGAGCAGTTCAAGAGGAAGCTCGAGCTGGAACTCAGAGATTAATGGTGCCCCAATGGAGATGACTTGCAGGTGTGGAGATAAAGTATACTTGAAGACCTCCTGGACCCAAAATAATCCGGGAAGAAGATATTGGGCATGCCCTAAATATGGGGTAATTGATTAATTTGTTATGAATTTGTGTTTTCATTTTGTTTTTAAATATGGCCTAAGCATGAATTTTTCGAATGCCCTAAATATGCCCTAAGAGTGATTTTTTTCGAATGCCCTAAATATGCCCTAAAACGGTTATGAATTTGTGATTTTTTTCGAATGCCCTAAATATGCCCTAAGAGTAATTGATTAATTTTTTCGAATGCCCTGAATCTTGAATATAGGCGCTGAAAGGTTGGTTTTTTATGTGATTTAGTTTGTTGAATTGTTAAATTTCTGCAATATTGATTAAAATGATATATGCACTTTACTCTAAGAGTGAAATTTTCGCATGCCATTTTTGCAGCAAAAGTTTGGTTTTTGCGGGTTTTTTATATGGTATGATCCGGAAATTTGCGCAAGAGCAAATAATATTATACCCGGTTTGCTGGAAAAATCAAATAAACATCAATATCAAATTGAGCAATACAAGTTGAGGAATGCTGAAATGGAAGCTCAACTCTTGGTGGCAATGAAAAAAGTGGATGACATGAACAATGCATTGGTTGAAAATGAGCAATACAAGTTGAAGAATGCTGAATTGGAAGCTCAGCTGTTGGTGGCAATGAACAATGTGGATGACATGAAGAAGGCATTGGTTGTGTGCAAGAATAAGATCAAAAAATTATGGGCTGCTACCATTCTTCTCTCATTGTTATACCTTGTCAAATTATGTTCTAACTAGAATTAGATAGTTATGGTTTAGGGTTTATTGTAAGATTGTTATTATGTAATGTTTTATTAATGCAATTCCTGTACCATTTTAGTATGAATATTGTTATGCAATCCATGTACCATTTTCAATGAGTTATGTTATGTATTTGCAATATGAAGAAGACTCCTAAAAAAAGGGTCAATGAGTTATGTATTTTCAATGAATATTGTTATGCCAAACTGCTAGACATTCCTGAACTGAGCCGTAGATCCTTCCTTTCACTGCTTGCCTGTCCCCTGCTGGAGTTCCTGCTACTAGGCTAGAATAGCTAAAAAAATAGGCTAGCTTCCTTTTCCTTAGTTATTTGTTTTGAGAAGACCCTCCAACACCACCATTTTCAATGAGTTATGTTATGTTATGTATTTGCAATCCATGTACCATTTTCAATGAGTTATGTCATGTATATGCAATCCATGAAGAAGACTTCACATCCATTAAGGACAGACAAATGATATCAAATACTGAACAAATTATACACACAAGCAAACCAAAGCTTCACACCAAAAAAACATCACTACAGAACAAACATATCCATTAAACATCACACAAGAACTGAATTTCTGTCCAGTGCACACTAGAACTGAATTTATGTCCATAACAACACAAAACAGTCACACACAATAAACATATCCTCAAATAGTCACACACAATTATCAAAACATCACAAACATATCCATTAAACATCACACAAGATAATGTATTTCTGTCCATAACACTCACACACAATAAATCAATACAAATGAATCACACACAAGATAATGTATTCCATCTTCAGCATATCCTCAAATGGATTTTTGTGCCTCATTTTGCTTTGAAGTCCCCTGAGCAGCAGCAACAGCTCTTAAATTTGAAAGGGTAATGTAGTTGACACCTCCCTTCACAATGACTGGTCCATTTCCAGAAGATGATTGCATCATCTAAAAGTAGAAAATTTGATTTATGAAGCTTAAATATTATATACATATATATATGAGAAAAAACAACATGCACAAAAGATAAAAAAAAAAAAAAACTTACATTAATTGAAGACACTATGTTTGTGCCTCCACTTAAGTTTACACCACCAACTGTGGCAGACTCTCTCCTCCTCTTAACCTATTTTGTGCAAAACAATTACAAATGACAGTGTCATTCCAACATAATAAAAGTTACATGTAATTGAAGAGTGAGATTGAATAATAAAAGTTACAACTAATCAAATCAAATAATACTTTCATCAAATTAAACTTACAGGTAGCTTTGATCTTTTCTGAGACTGAGAGTGATGCTTAGACTGGGACTGAGACTGAGAGTGATGCTTAGACTGGGACTGGGACTGAGACTGAGCTTGAGACTGATATTGAGACTGAGCTTGAGACTGAGATTGAGACTGAGATTGAGACTGAGACTTAGATTGTGACTGAGAATGAGTGCCACCCATGCTTCTTGCCACTGGAGTTCTACTTTCAGACTGTTGATTCTTGCAAGTTCTAGAGTTGTGGCCTTGTTTACCACACTTTCCACATTTCACTGAATTTTGAACCTTTTTAAGCCTGGTTTCAGAGGATGGAGCAGGAGGCTCATCAGGTTGTCTCCTCCTCAATTTTTTGGGCCTACCAGGCCTATTTTCATATATTGGTGGCAAAGGAGCTGGTAAATCACATGTAGGCCACAATTCAGAACATGAAATTCCCATGATGGCATTTTCATATGCATTTCTGTATGTGTTTTGACTATACAAGTCATCAACATAGCACTCAGGATCTTCATGTCTGCACCAAATAGCAGCACATGCATGCTTACAAGGGATTCCTGTCAAATCCCATTTTCTACAGCTGCAGCTCAGTCCAGCAACATCAACAGTGTGTTGATCATAAGGGCCTATGATTTCAAAGTGCCAATCATCACTTTTCATTGGAATGCACTCTGCACCATCTTTCATGTTTTTTTGAAGTATCTTTTTTATTCTAGGGCAGATCTTCCCTGACCAATTTTTAGCTGCATCTCTATTCACTTGCAGTCTTGCCATCAATAAGTGCCTTATTGTTTCAAGCATCACAATGACTGGCTTGTCCCTTGCATTCAGGATGAAAGAATTGAAACACTCACACATATTGTTCAGT